GGGGGCTGATAATATATAGGCAAAAGATAGATCTGAATTGCTATTTTTTATACGCCTGTGATTTGCAGTCCGAAATTGAGAAATTCGGAGAAATGTTGAAAAACAACAACATTTGTACATCATTTTTATTACAAATTTTAAGCTTATTAATTATATCTGCTTCTCGTCAGAATATAACAATGGTTCCAATAATATTCTTAAACTATATTTTGGAAGGTCATTTTTTGGTAATATTTTTAGAACGCGAGACTACAGATGTTTAAGATGGCTGCATTGACTAGGAATTTAAAAATCAGCCAAGGAGCTTTACAGCTTCTTAGGAATCAGGTATATTTTGTTTTGACGATTTCTAACAATTATTTTATGTAAATGCTTAACACTTAAATCTTTTCATCACATTTCGTAGTAATGTGTGTGTTACCTATTTCGAATTCGATCTATGATAAATTTAATTATAAGAAGTCAGGCGCACGTGATCACCCGAGTAAGTTTAATCGTGGGTTGAAGATTATGTTTGGAATAAGAAGGTGTTGAATTAAAAAATGGTATATCCTAAGTTTGTAGTAGTTGGATTATTTGAATAAATTATATACTAGTTAAGGAAGTCACATATGAAGCCTTTAAGTTTAAAAAGATAACACGGGAAATAAGTCACAAAATTAAAATTATATTTTCAAAATTAAAGTAATTTAGTTGAACGTACATGAATATTCCCATATACCAAGACAATGTTCTAAAATTAAAATACAGATCTGTATTTTCTTTATAATAAAAAAAGTGAACATTTAGTTTACAGTCCCTGGGAATTTATCTTCAGGAACCTTCTGTTAAAAACAACAACAGATAATTATGCAAATAATCATCACCACAGGCACAATAAGCCATTTGCTCCATCTAGATCACTCATAATCCCCAAACAACAAAAATTGTGTAGCACCTCATCTAAGGGTAATCTTTCACATCTCTATACCTATCCAACAAAAAACTGTAAGTACTCACTCCATCACTTGATAAAATTGGTATCAATCTACTTTTAGTATAGTCTGTTATTTTTAAAAGCTTAAGTAAGGTATGTCATAACATAATCATTCCTTTCAGCAAAATTTTGTGCTATTCTCTTGGCAGATCCTGCAAATTACAGAGGGTTCCCATAGTTCTTAAAAATCAGAGTTTTTTAAGGGCCTTTTAAAAGTAAATAAGTTTAGCTGAAGTTTCTTTAACTAGTTTTAGTCCTTAAAAAAGTTCATAGTTTTTCAAAAGAATACTATTCCTGTTTTATTTTTTATGGTTATTGAACTTTGCAAATTTCTAATTAGTAAAATAAAATGTAAGCTATGATTGAGTTTCTGATTGGTTAACACAGTAAGCATGCCCCTTAACCATCTTGTAGCGTCATCAGTGCCATTAGTTGGACATTTAGTATCCTTTGCTGTGTATCTTAGTATTGTAAATACGTCCAACATGTCTGGGAAATGTTTACAATTAGATCTGGCAAATGCAGAGAAATTTTTATTTTGGAGTGTGCCTTGCCATTGACAAATATTTTGTAAGCTTTGCATCAAAGAATTTGACATTTATTTTTAAGAGTGTAAATTCTTCAATTCAGGTTTTGTTAACATGAACAAATTGTTGAGTCCTTACATAAAGTCCTTAAAAACTCCTTAATTTTTAGGGTGGAAAAAGGGAACCTATTAAAGTAGGACTTGACACCCAAAAATTTTTTTATGATTTGTTGACTTAATTTAGATGTAAAAGAAGAGGATTTTTTCACTATATGAATCAAGTTACTGTGCCAGAGCACTTTGCCATTAATGATAAAAAACAAAGGAATTAGATCATTTTAGTATTTTTAGATCATTACTGTGAAACAAAAACTTTTCAAAAAAGGAAGTAAGTTTAGGGATGGCTAATATAAATTCTTCTAAAACAATGCAAACAAGATAGTAGGAATGGCATTTATATCATCCCTACATAATAGTACAGACAAAAGTAAGATAAATTAGACTCGGTTGTAATTGAATATATATATATATAGCTTACAAACTATTGATTACATTAATTGTTCAGAGACGTTTAAATCATCACTATAAAACAATAATGAATTAAATATCGCAATACTGTTATCGGTCTTGGTTGTCAACATATTGTCATAACGGATAATGTCTGTGGTAATAGCACCCAAATGCATTGGGGATATCCCATCTATCAGACAATATCCAAACACCGATGTCAATCTAGTCGGCCGTCATAGAAAAAAAAATCATCAATCAAATAAGGGTATGAAGCTGAGTGCTTACACACACAACGTCTAAGCTTCTACTGCCTTTCACTGTCTATAGCCAGTTGTGGGAAGGCAGTTACCCTTAAATATCTTAAAATAGCTATGAATTGAAATAAAGCCACCCTAATATTTCTATTAATTACACTCCCAACCTCCACCCTTACAAAAAGATATTAAATAGAACTATAAAATATTGTATAGAACTATACACCACACCTTAAAAGTTCTTACATAGTTGTAACTCCCAACCTCCTCCCTTTCTCCTGAATATTTATTCAAGTATAACACAGAGACAAGCCCAGCTACTTGAAGTTAGTCTTTCCGTCCCAGTTATACTGAATAGAATTACTAGAACAAATACTATAGTTACTTATAAGCTAAAATAACTAACTCCTTCTATATTTTATTTATAAGATATTTTCCTTAGTTTAGTTTCTAAAATATTTTTTTATTTAATAAAAGATAAAGTGATGTATTTCTTTAATTGCCTGTCTCTCTAGCCAGGCTCTTTCAATTTATTTAATTTTTTCTTAATAAAATATTATCCATAAAAAAAATTCTAGTTATTACATACTATTAAGAAATGTTTTAGTTGAGATATAATAATACCTTTTAACATGATGCACGGGATAACATGATTAGATTAGGGTAGACCAAGAATGGAAAAATTAAATTCTCTTTTTTTTTATCACAAATATTCAACTGCACTGTACCTTCTATAAAATTAATGTTCAAATCTAAATAATTAACATGGACCTCATTATTATTATTACTTCTCTTTGTTGTAAATTCTCTTGGATATATGAGGTTTTGTATAATATTCATATTATTTATAGATATCAAATCATTATTCGGTATGACAATAAGTTGACAACCAAGACCGATAACAGTATTGCAGTATTTAATTCATTACTGTTTTATAGTGATGATTTAATCATCTCTGAATAACTAATGTAATCAATAGTTTGTAAGCTATATATATATATACACATATGTTAATTCTTGCCTGTGCTATTATGTAGGTATGGTGCAAAGCTATCCCTATTATCTTGTATGCATTGTTTTTGAAGGATTTATATTGGCCATCTCTACATTAATTCCTTTTTTGAAAAGTTTTGTTCTTGTTTGCTTGTTGTTTTTGTTTTTTAATGCAGTGTTTCAATAGACATAGGAAGGTTGTATCTATAATCAAGTTCTAAATACAGTGAGGTTTATCTGTTATTGGCTGGTAATTCCTGTTTCACCCTGTGCTTAAGCTTTGTAAAGGAGCACCAAATTTCTGTAAGAAAACTAACTTAAAAGGATAATGATAACATTGTTTACACTAGAATTATGATTTTGTTTTAAGTTACTACTAGTGAGTAATACTTGTTTTGGTTTTTGAGTTATCATGTAATGAAAAAAGAAGCAAAAGAAAGAACAAGAAGAAATTCAAATATTTTGCTATGATATTTACAGACATTCCCAGAATTTGTGACTCGGTCATTACATAGATATTGTTATAAAAGGAAACAATGTATAGTATCGTAAAGTTCTGATGACTTATTGAGGAGATATTTTAAATACCATTTCAATGAACAATCCAAGCAATTCCTATATTGGCAGTGCTACCACCTGCCTGATAAGGACATATTTATTTTATTTTGATGTAACTTGCAGTATTTTAAGGTTGTGGTTAATGCAGTCGAGTCAAACTGGACATTTGATTACTAGGAGTCAGTGCACAAGCTTTTCCTATTTACTTTAATATCTATAGGGGGATAATTAGTAAAGTGCTCAAACCATTAAACTCTTGCATATTTCTAGCTATATTGAATATGTTAAAGTATTACAGAATGATTTTGGTCAATTTGTGAGTTGTACAAATATGTGGCAAATAATTATAGTAAGGGCAAGGTAATGCTTTTGGGTTATAATATGTAACCCATTCATCAGTGAGAATAAAGAAAAAGATCTTGACATATGGTGGATAAGTCTCTCAAGCCTTTGATGCAGTGCCCTGCACCTAATTATAAAGCTAAAAATTGTCAGGATGTATTCATATGTATGTTGATTAGAAGTAAAATGAGATTATTATATTCATAAAAATCATAAATTAGACTTCATTTGGAATGCCATGTATGGTTTTGGTCTTCTAAGAAAGGATATTAACGTTGGATAGGGTTCAGAGGAGGGCTAGGTTAAGATCTCTTAACTTCTCTTGAGTAAAGAAAGAGGTTATATTATTGAAGGTTACAAGATTGTCTGGAATATAAATTGTATAAAGACCTTTGATTTCTTTGTGCTGTATTCTGAAGGTAATACAATGAAAGGACAAACTAGGCTCCATATAAGACATTTGTATTTTTTTAATAGGGTGATTGGTTTATAGAATGAGTTGCTGTTGGCAGTAGTGGAGGCCAGCATGTTATAGGAGTTAAAGAAGAGAATAAATGACTTCCTGAAAATAAAGGGTGGTTTTTAATTTATATTTTTCTCATGGGCAGGTGTGCAAAAATAGTCTTTAAGGTCCAAATTGTTCATATGCTATGTCCTGTTAAAGTATTCATGAGATACAAAATGTATTTCAGTAATTGCCACTAAAATTGATATTGTGCATTACAAAAGGCAGGATGTAATTATATATAGTTCATTTTTGCAAGTAGTGTAAAACAACCAATTAAACTCTTAAAAAGGCTAAATTAAATCTTAGAAGATGAAGGTCAATATTGAGACAAAAGCCTACAACATACAATACTTCCTCTAGTATGTTTTTCATACATAATTTAGACTGTTTGGTGATTGTTAAGTGTGCCCATATTCTATGTTATCACATGAACTCACCATATTCTGTGGTATCACTTAACTTGCACTGTTTTCTTATTAGCCTTTGGGATTAATTCATATTTTCTTTGACATAGGCTTCATCTTGCCAGGTACCGATACGATGGCTAAACCTCCATGAATATCAAAGTAAGCAGTTAATGGCTGACAATGGTATTAATGTACAGCGTTTTAAAGTTGCTGGAACTAGAGATGAAGCTGAAGAAATTTCAAAAACATTAGGTAAGATTTTAAAGGATACCACAGAAGTCTTTAATATGATCACTTGAAGTTAAAAACAAAAGTATTGGATTCATAGTTTCAAAACTTTTAATGTGATAATGTATAGTTACAGGAATTTATGCTGGTTACAAACCAAAACAGTTTGAACATTCTCATTACAAAAATTAAATTATCTAAATTATACCATGTCATTTTTTTTCACAAACTTTGCTACCTTTTACCTTGTACTTCTCTAAAAAGAAATGTAAACATAAAATATTTGCTTTCTAACAGAAGAACTCTCTCGCATACTTCACTTATAGAATTATAGTGTTTCTGAAATGTGTTTATCAACTGAATGTATGTGCTGCACATCTTGTGTTAGGACTAATATTATAGATCTGTGTCATGTTACAAATGATGGTACTAAAAAAATAATGTACTTATTGTCTAGTCAGTTTATCATTTACATTTTCCTGTAAAATTCTATTTAGGAATGCTCCTGTCTCTTCATGAGACTGTTAGGCTAATAATTCAGATTAATTTCAAATATATTGCTATGATGTTTATCTTTTGTTGGTGGGTTCTTTTAAATTATCTGGTGAAAATAATTCAAAATCCAGTCCATATAAATTATATCAAATAGGTTTATTTACTCTCTTCACGTATCTACAAGCTTGCATAGTTGTACACTGTTGTAGGGCTATGTTATAAATGACATTAACTGATGTAAAACGTATCAACTTACTTGTACAAATAATAAAGGAGAACAAAATATTTCTTGAAAATACACTGACTTATTCAATTCTTTACTTTGAAATAAACTCTACAATCTTCACAACTATAGCCTTGACCATCTTTCAACTCATTTTCTATCTAACTTAATGATGCTTCATTGACTGTCATATTTAGAATGTACGCTTGTTCTAGATATTTCTAGGACTTGCTTGATTGTAATGTCGCTGCCCTCTAACTAACATCTACCTTAACAAATTAGAATGTTATAAATATAGCTTATAACATTGCCCCTTCCTCAATTATAAATTCCCTTAAATAGTCCTAATACAAAAAAAACTAAACCATACTAAATTATCTATTAACCAAGTCTTTTTGGTGGTATTTTCTTCCAAGGTTCATGGTATACAGATGAGATGACATCTTGTTTCCTCTGGCTGCCCTATTTCTGGATGAGTTCTTCCTGCCTTGGTGGTTGGGTGAATCCATTGGTAATTCCAACCTTGATGATCCATTGGAAGTAGTCTCAATGGGAACTCCAGGCTTCTCCACAGGTTGAGGCTCTGCTGACGAGTTCTTCTCTAGAGTTATCCATTTGGCTGTTCTCTCACTGCTGTACTTCCAAAGATGATGGATGACCTTTGGCTTGAATCATCTGTCATTCTGAATTCTTTAAACCACATAATTGTTTCTTTTCAGTACAGCATGTGACCCTCTGAAGCACTTTCTTAACTTAGGAATTCATTTGTTCTTGTACAACCACATCATGTCACCTCATTGGCATCCAGTCTTATTGGCATTAATATCATTGCTACTTTTCATTTTATCACTAGATGATTTAAGTCTTTCTCAAGTAAAGTCATGTATGTCATTGATGGTATTCCTTGATATCTGCACATGTTCTGTGTAAGATGTCCAAGTAACTGTTATCCAGACAAAAGCTCAAAAAATCCAGTGACACTTGTTTCTTTCCCAAACATCAATGATGATGGTATATTGCCGATAGCTTTAGTATTGCTGTATGATAACTCATCAGTAACAGTAAAATATCTGGATCCCGTGTTTTCTGATATTCATCCTCATATACGGCTAATTGATTTAACAGTGTGCGGTTGTATCTCTCCATCATGCCATTAGAAATGGGTGAAGGGCTGTTGTGTTTAATGCCAAAATTCTGACACATTTCTGAAAAGAAGTCTGATTCAAAGCTCCATCCCTGATTTAAGTGAAGTTCTGTGGGCACACCGAATATTGAAACAAATTCTTAGATGAGTTTCTTTGCAATAGTTCCTTCTTCCTGGTTAGAAACAGCAGATGCTTCTGGCTATTTGGTGAAATATTCCATCACAACCATAATGTTACTATGTGGAAAAGGGCCAAGTATTCTTCCTTTATGTTGGAATGTGTCAGTAATGCTTTGATAAAGAATTATATATTTGTCAAGTGTTAAATACCCATATTTTTTGTATTTATTTGTGGTAATATGCTTTATAGCTTCTCTCGTGAAAGTTGCTACTGTTTCAATTACTAAAGAAAGAACTACAAGAATGCACCATATTCAGTTTTTCTGACACCTAATGACTTTAAAAAAACATTTTTCCCATACTTGAAATCATATATCCAATACTCTCTTCTCACTTCTCACACAAAATTATCTCGATCTTCTTTCTGCCCCTAAGCATTGCTAAAAAATGTTAATGCCTTCAGTGCACCAGTCTAATATACCCCCAAAATTTCATGCCACTTTGGGACATGTATAAGTATATAGCATGTGACCACACTCCACCAATAATATTGCACCACCTATGTTGCCACAACTAGCTTCCTTTGATTCTCATGCTCAATTCTCACTTTCTCGATTGGCACAGCATCATTTAGACTTGTGTTTTTTTGCATGTGACTGTGTTTACGATTGTACTTCATTGACATTTCAATACCTTTTTCAACAGTTTTCTTTTACTGTGTTTGTATTCAACTATTTCAATTTTTATTTGCTTTTGTTTATTGTTACTAAATCATACAATAACTTAGAATGACTTCATGATTCAATGTATCAACAATGGAAGTTCCTGTTATGGTAGACAACGCTTGTGGTATAACTACCCAGGCATCGGGTTTGACTATCTGCTGACTAGATACAGGCCTTAATTTGCAGGAAGCTAGATTTTTATATTTGGCTGGCAATTTTTTCTCATTTTCAACCTGTCAGTGCTTATGAGGATGAATACAATCAAGGATAAGAAAATTGGATTCTTTTTTCTGGCACCTTATTATTTTGACATGTCACACTCTACTCTATAGGATATCTCACCTTCCACACTTTTTTTTTACAGCTGGTTAATGAAATATGTGATATATTACATGTTTCTTTTTCTCATAGCTTGCAGATATTGATGATATTAATGTTACCAGAATTCTCTACCATTCCTCTAACATCGTCCTATATCCAGACTGGTCCTTCCTCCTCAAAAACTCTGCTGCCTAGGAAGGCCATTTGGCTTTCACACCGATTCATTTACCTTCCATCTCCCACCTGTACTTCCATACTGTTCTTGATCAGCTTCTTTGTCTAGTTTGCTCCTTAAGATGTTATGTGGCACGTACTACCTCCTTTTGAGGTTCACCTTCCTGATCTTTTATTCCCTAAAACCCTTCTGTTTCCTATGATTTATCCCATGTCACACTAACTGGTTGGGTTCGTCAAATTCTTAGGCTGGTGTATTCAGGATTATCCATGAAAGGTCGTCGTCTCCTCAATGTTTCTTCTCATCAAATTTGTCATATTGCCATGTCTTGGGCTGCTCATATTCACCATTAGTTGGAAGAAATTGTTCAGGCCAGAATGTGGACTTTGTGGCTCGATCTGTACTATCTTGCTGTAGCTTTCTAAGTTGGATATTGTCTCCCTCCCATGGCGATTCTACACATGTCCATTTGCTTTTGTCTTGGGCATGTCTTTTTACAACATTTTATATATGTTTTCTTTTCAGGGGCCCTTTTTTACCACTACTAATAGGATCCCACTCTGCAATGAATGTTGCCCGGTCAGGTGTGTTTCCACTCAAACCCACACAATATACTGGTAGAGCTATAATGCTCACTGCAGATATGGATTGTTTTGCAAGACCACTAGTGGCATGCCTAGTGGTATATACTTATGTGTCTCTAGGTGTCTGTATGCTTAACCCAGTAGTGGACCATCACTCATGGACTATCATAAGTAAAGCAAAATGGAAGTCTTACCCATCCCTACCAACCTGTTGATTGCATAAATCAGGGAGGGTTTGCTTTTCAAAATAGGGAATAGTGGACCACCCATTGCACTTTCTCCAGGGTGATGTTCTTCTGGACTTTACCGTACAACACAACCACACATTTATCCACTCAATGAAATGAGGACAAAGCTGGGTTCCCTCCTCCTTTTCCCTTGGAAGCTTATTCCAAGTAGGACTGAATGTTGATTAGAGCAGACCAGCATATGAGGAATCATCCTCGTAATACTTGGTTCAGAAAGATACTACCTTGTTCCCACAGTTGAGTGCAGTAGAGGCCCCCTTTCTTGTTAATTCGGGTTGCAAGAGGTTTCCTTCCCTGCTTCTACAGTTGAGTTTGGGAGATTGCATCTGCCTCATAATGCTGAAAATAGATGTATGTACACTGTACCTACAGTTGAGAAAGTGTTCCACATCCTCCTTATAATTCTGGGTGCAGGATATGTCTTCCCTGCAATTACGGTTGGGGGAGTAATGATTTCTGCTCTTAATACCAGTTACAGGTATTGCCCTGTTCTTAGGAGTGAGTTGAGGCAATGACATGACCCTGTAATGCCGGTTTTGTTTGATGTATCTATACAACATGGTCCATATACCCTAGCCACAGTGTTTATGTTGCTCTAATTTCATTTTTACCTGGGTGATCCTCAACCTCTAATGCCGAGAATGGGTTGTGGAACCTCGTCTGTTCGGTTGAGGTTGGATAGGTACCTAGCTGTGACTAGATGTTTTTCTCCATCGTTATATTTCAGCAAACTATCCCTTGACTTCCTGTTTTTCCTTGTGAGTATCAAGTTTGCTTTGTGTCTTCATTTCATAGAGCAGTTCTTGACCTATGGGAGCCGGCTGTTTTCTGGTCTGGTTTGTGCAATGGAGGACGATTCATATTTTAATTTTTTTTACTATGGATTGCACCTCTCGGAACAATTAAGCTTGTGCACATCCTTTTTGTTTTCTGCCCATGTCAGGTTCATTTCTGTCATATGGGGTGAAGAGCATACCTGTTCCAGAAGTAGTGTGGTGCCCTGCATGTGTGCTTCGATTTTATCTCTGAGCACACCATTTATTTCTAGGCAGTCGCTTTCCTCTTGGTTTCACTGTTAGGAACCTACACTGGCCCTTACACCTTCTCAGTGTGGGATTCTAAATTTGTGTGATAGGAGGTAAGACTGTATTGGAAGTTAACATTTTCTTACACTGAAAATGTATTTCCGATAGGTACTTACCTCCTTTCACAGAATTCTCTCCCTTCCTCCCCACTGATAATGTTATTCATTTTTTATCGTGAGGATTGAGTAGGAGAAACGAAGGAAGCTAGCTGCACCAATATAGGTGATGCAATACAATTGGTGGAGGGTGGTCACATGCTATATACATGTTCAATAGTGTCACAAATTTGTGGGGTATATAGACTGGTGTGCTGAGCATTAAAAGTTTTTAGCAATGCTTAGGGGGCAGAAAGACGATCGAGGTAGCTTTTTGTGAGAGGAGGTATGTACCTATTGGAAATACATTTTCAGTGTAAGTAAATGTGAACTTTAATTCGGGCTAAACTGAAAACATGTAGAGTTATAAGTAATATAATTCTTTGACTTTTATCTTATAGATGTAAAAGAGTTTGTGATTAAGGCCCAGATCCTAGCAGGTGGTCGGGGTAAAGGTACTTTTTCCAGTGGCTTGCAGGGTGGAGTAAAGTTGACAACCAAGTAAGTAATAATGTATTTATTTAGAACCCACATTTGGTTGTCTAGTGACAATTTTTCTAATACATTTGTAATTTTGAAACATTTTGAACTTTTGACATAATAAGTGTATCGGTGAATAGTATTTGAAATTTACCATGTTACCTTGCTGCACTGCAAAAAAATAATTTGAAGACAACAGTAATGGTACCATTTTTTTTTTATACTTTTCGCAAGACGTAATTCTCTAGAAAGTTTCATTCCTTTAACATGTAAAAAGATATACCTTTTTAGTAACATGCTTTTGTTTTAAAACTTTCGTTAACATGATCTACCCATGTAAATGTTAAGGTATTGGTGTTAAGGGGTTATTTTGGTGTATATAATGCCGTGTTTTTGTGGGTTTACTCTATATTTTCCAATTATCTTTAGTTAGGAATTTTTTTTATCCGTTGACATTGTTTTGAAAAGAACGTAGTGACAGTTTCAGGGTAAGAGTTTGGTTAATAGATTTTGGTAGAATTATTTCATGATATAAGAGTATGGTTGAGTGCATAGTAGGATTTGCTAATAGATTAATTGTTGGGCTCTTTTAACTGATTACATTTAACTAAATCTCATAAGACTAATCTTTCTATTTTCAGCTTGTTTTGTTTTTCCAGACTTTATTTTTTTTTGAAATACCCTTCATTTGATATGATAGACAGCTTCAGGTATAATAAGTTATGGTTAAGGTACTTTTTAAATCCTGAATGTTGTATGTTAAATTGTATCATATACACAATGTAACAAATATCAAGCTGAAAATACTATTAATAATTTTCCATGGGTTTCTCCTTACAAATTTCTATAAGTCTATTAAGACTACTCAACTTTTGTTGATGAAAATATACAATATATCTTGCCATTTCTCAAGCAACTTTTTATACAAAGTTAGTAAACTTTATTATGCTAAAAAAGTGCTGTAAGTATACGTAAAACTATTTTTGTATAAAAGTAAATATTCATTTATTTTTCACTTTATTTTTTTTCAATGTGAAGCTTCACTAATAATTTTTGTTATATAGTCAAGTTTACAATATATGAAGTAAAAATTCTCAAATTACTGTAGAATCGAAATGTGTGAAAAGTTTGTTTATAGTTGCATGGATATAAAATTATCAAAACAAAGGTGCATCTACATATATTTTTTCTCAATAATTTTAAATAAATAGCTGTTATTTTTATCAACATGTATTATTTTAATGAGCTGGAGTCCTGTTGTGCTGCTTTTCTTTTGTCTAGTCTTTTTATTAAATATATTTATTGTTAACAGGAAATTATTAGGATGTGATAAATTAATTTTAATAAGTTTATTTGTTTGTATAACAGTAGTGTATATTTCTATGAAAGTATTTAAATTATATTTTAGCTATACATTTTTATTACAACAGAGTATCGGTTGACTCTTTGTAATATATTTTTTGAAAATTTCAATTAAGTTAATAGAAAGTTAGGAAAGGCAAAGGTAGACACTTGATTTGCTTTCCATTTTTGTTGTAGCCCAAAAGAAGTGACACCAATAGTTGAACAAATGCTGGGACATAAACTAGTAACCAAACAAACAATTGGAGATGGTGTATGTGTTAAAAAGGTAATTCCTTTGCACTTTTTTTTTATCGGTATTACTTTGCATTTAAATCATTTCGATGTGTTGATAATTGTGAAGAAACCTATTTTATCATTACTATTTTGGCCTAATAATGTAACATTTGTAATAAAAATATAAAACAACTTGCTAAAAATGTGTATTTTAATAGACTATTCTAAATTGTCTTTACAATAAACATCTGGTTAAACCACCATTCTTATAGTCTTATAAAGTTTTAATATTCAGGATAAAATCATGTATCACTACAGATTTTAACCCTACGGGTCTGATGGGTCTTCCTATGGTCATGTGTCAAAGGCAATATCATCACGTTTGAAAACTTACATTCAAAATTTTATGTATATCCTCAAATTATCGATATTGACAAGCTAGAATATAAACTAAGAACCTCCTATTTTTTCTATTTGCTGAGATATTGCTATTTAGTGAATCAAACACATTGGCCCCACCCACCTCTTTCCATTTTTGGAAACACTTGCTTAGGTACACCTATTTCTGTATGTGACATGTGAATAACCAATCAAAAGCTCAGAACATCCCCCCACATGGTTCTCTGAGTCTTTTTATATAATTTTTTGGTCTGTTTCCTATTTCAAGCTCACTTTATCAGTACAAACATAGTTTCAAATTGTAAACCATTGCTTTTTCCACAGCTTGATTCATTTGCCATCAGTAACTATTTATCAGTATAATAACTTTTCCTGATGTTTTTTTTTTCTGTGATTTTGTAAATGTGACAGACATGAGTTGTATTATGCTTTTAAAAAATGTAAATGTAACACCTCTGACCTGTTAATGACTTGCCATCAGGTGTTCACCAGCACAAATGTTGTGAAATTTAGTGATGGCAAAAATTTATTTGTCACCTAGTGCCTTTGTCTTCTAAAACCTGATCGAAATGTATGTTTTTTTTTTAAATTTTGAAACCATCATGGACAAAATTGACTTGGACTAACATGATTAAAGTTTTTAAATTTCAAGTAACTCCATTTTTGTAGTTTTTACTTTCTTTTTTAATACTTTTGTTGTATTACAACTTTCTATAGCTAGAGAAGTTATGTATATATATCGATTCCTACTTTTCTTTATAAATTTAAAATTTTTCTTGTACTTGTAATAAATATCTAGTCATATTATTTTTGAGAAAACTCTTAAATGATAATCGTTTTAAATTTAATTAGTAATGTTATGGTTTAAAAAGTTTCAGAGTTTAACCTGATTATTTAGTCACATTTGTTTTGTTTTTTACTGTAAAAATACTATTTCTTATGGATTGGTTTTTGTGAAGATGCAGTTTTGAGGATGCTTTTTTAATGAAGTGATAATTGAACAGTAAATTATATGTTAAATCATCTCTGGTTAACATATTTCATATGTACTTTAAACCTATCAGTGTGATAATAATTTTCATGAAAGAATACTATTCAAAATGTAATTTTTAAGGCCTTCCACAATTATTACAATGATAAAGATATCCAAAAGAGAAGTAAAATTAGTAATCACATTGTGACAGTTAACACAGAGAAGTTCGAGAATAAGTGATAGTACATCAAATAGTCAGGCTAAAATTATGGCCACTTTTCGTTTTTGTTTATTATTGCAGAATCTACATGAGTGCACAAACCGTGCTACTTATATTTTCCAGTTATTGGCATATTTTAACATAATCTTGGTAAGATTTGTTTATGTAATATTATGAAGAAATGTGAAAGATTAGTGTGCCATTTATGTGCAAGTCTGAACAATCTGGATTTAGCCTAGAAAGTCAGAAATGTTTTTTTTAAACAAAAATGTGTTTAATGAGCATGCCTTTTTTTGAGGGGGTGGGAATGGGCCAGACAAAGAAACACATTTTCATGTTTTTTATAGAACCATAAACCCAACACCTAGTTTATTTGTTTTTCTTGAACTTGTGACCTTCTATACATATTACTCAATATGTATATCAGCTTTAAAATTTACTGTCATCTGTAGCGAGTATCAAATAAGCATTCGTATATCTTAACTGCATTACTTCACAACCTACAATGAAACTTGCTTCTTCATTACATGAATGTTGTTTTAGTGATATTGAAGTAATATGCAAAGTGTCCCTTCAAAAAAGGTGATTGTACAGCATAAAAATTTTTCATGGAATAATTGAATATTTTTTAAAAAGGGAATTAAATGTTTCTGTAATATCCTTGTTCGTTCTTTTACTGTGTTTTTCTTTTCATGTTTTGTCTATGAATATATGCTATTTACAGAAGAGAAGACTAAATTGTAAAATAATTGGCAGGTGATGATAGCAGAAGCTTTGGATATTGAGAGAGAAACCTATTTGGCAGTTCTGATGGACCGAGAAACTAGTGGACCAGTGATTGTTGCCAGTCCAGCTGGAGGTGTGGACATTGAAGAAGTAGCTCATACCAATCCTGAACTTATATTTAAGGTCAGTATTTTTTTCAGTTACTTTTTTTTCATGTTTTTTTTAGACTGAAAGTTTTGAGTGTTTTGATAATTTATTGATATTTCCACTTTATATAAAAGTAGGAAAACACATACGGGAGTCACAAACACTGAGTAATGGCAATTAGATAACAAGTTTATTAATGGTATAAAATATTATCACAGAATGTAGAAAATTCCTAAAGCAAAGTTAAATTCCTCGTGAATGCGGGAATGTAATATTCCAATCACTGGAAAGTATGGAATAAAAGTGAAAAAAGCTATACAGTGAACTAGTATTTTGTATGGGAGCCTTTTTATGCAGAACATTACTCATTGTTGACATACAGTTTATCTATGTGCGATTGTTAAATATTGTTCCATATCTCCTGCATTACTCCCCATAATTCAGCCATTACTCATTGTTGACATACAGTTTATCCATGTGTGATTGTTAAATATTGTTCCATATCTCCTGCATTACTCCCCATAATTCAGCCAAGTTGTTTGGTTACCTTTTAACCAACAGAGTTTAGTGAAGCCCATACATCCTCAAGCATGTTCTTATCAGGACTTTATGCAGTCCAAGCCACAATTATATGTTCCATTGGACTCTTTATCACCAAGAAATGTTCATGCTGGGAATAATTGTCTTGGTGGAGGATGATTATGTTCCTGAGGGAATAGAATGACCAGTCAAAATCTGCTTTACTTGTCAGCAGTGAGGTTTCCATCAATTTTATTGACATTCATCACACCACTGGCTGAAATGTAGTTCCAAATTTGTAGATCCAACATCATGCTTTATTGTATACACCTGGAAAAAAGTTAAGCACCCCCAAATATTTTTCAGGATTGCTTATTGAAAATAAGG